CCGAGATACTTAAACTCTTCCACGTGTCTTTTTGGGACATGGATCAACAAGTTACACAAATCAAAATATTTTACTTAAATATTACTTTCAAATGTTATAGCTCTACAAAAATACTTTTGCTACATAGCCAGCCTGATTTGTTTAAATTAACACTAATTCACTTTAAATGCAGGCGGACTTCTCAGTGGCCTTGTGGTAAAGTGTCCGCCCTTTAAAAATCGGACTCAATGCCTCCCTGCTTGACACTCAGCTTTAAGGGGTTGGATTGGGGGTTAAACCACCAAATAGATCCTGAGCGTAGCCACAGCTGCAGCTCACCACTCCCCATGAGGATGGGTCAAATGCAGAGATGTAATTTCACCAGTGTGTGATGATCACTATGGGATGCTTTATTTGAAACCATGCAAGACTTTCAGGAAGTTAAACAAAAGTAAATAAAGCTAACAGCAGAACTGTCAGTGAAGAAGGCTAACTTTTCTTTCTGTATACAAAAGTAAATAAATTAACAAAGTAGAACCAGGTGTGAACACATCATTAAAGCATTACCGTTTATGTGTAAAGTCAAATCGAACCCACCCAACCTCCAGAAGACATGAACGGTGTCCCAATTCACCTGTCATGTTGAGAGGGTGGAGGTGGTGGACCCTGTGTGGTGGTGGGTTCTGGAGGCAGGAGAGCAGGCACAGATGAAATAAAAATGGATTTAATAGTAACCGGGAGCGACAGGACAAAACGAGGACATGCACATTCAATGATCCAACGAAGACAGGTACAAGACGGAAGGTATAAATACACAGGGAGAATTAGGAACACATGGGCATATTAACGAGGGGCAGGTGAGAACAATAGGACTAATTAAGGCAGGAGCGACTCAGTCAGGGAGGCCGGGGCAGATCATGACATCACCGTTTCAATATACAGAAACAAGTTGAATACTGACCTCTTAAGACCTCTCTTTCAACTGACTGCTAACTGCAGTGAAACTCAATAATACTCTAATAAATGTCTCAGTAACACCTCTATTAAACATGGATTTAGTGTCCGGAGTAGTTTCTAGGATACCTGATGTTTTAAGCAGGAGAAGCAAATGACCTGTGAGTGCCCTGATTCCTATCTCAGGTGTCCATGGGAGGCAAAATAAATAATATTTTCAGTAAGAATGATCAAAATGTAAAATTCAGTGTCTTGAACAATATTTCAGTTGGCTGTGAAAATTCTTAAGATGTGCGGTTGGTGCAATTGCTGCTGAGCCAAACGTTCCCACTCAACTCCCACTCAGTCAGAGATGGGTTTTTTCAGCAAGGTCCTGCTGCTCGCTTCCTTCCAGATTTAATATCTTACTGACAGTTTGCAGGTTGGAACGTGGGCTACTGTCAGGATCAATCATAAAACGGTTGTGTTCTTCTTCCTGATATCTGTGGCACAGCCCACCCTCTGTGGAGCACCAGAAAAGCCTTTCTGCATCACACAAGTGGTTCTGAAGTCAACAACCAGCAACATCCTGGTCATTTATTCTGAGTAGAGAAATTAGCTAACAGAAAATAGTCCTAAGATCTGATCTCTGAGAGATAACACAATGTGTTATAAAAGCCTGCAGAAATCACTGCATAATTATTGTGTCAATTAATCCTCTAAACACTTATTAGCATTCAGAAAAGGGAGGTTTTTCACACACACACACACACACACATGCACACTCACGGCCTTGAAATGTCTTCGAGTATCGCTCTGTGCGTTTTTCCTCATCCAGGAAAGAGGAATGTATGAATATGATCATCTGACACCACCTGCAACTCTGGCTGCTGTGATCTGAGGTCAGCCCGGTTGCCCAATCTCCACAAACTCTGGAAAAGCAGACTCCAAGATGGCCTGTTCAAAATCACAGATAATATGGCTTTATTTGTTCGACAGAGAGCAATCCTCAAGAGTGGGCTAATTATGCGAGGTTGCACACAAGTAGAAATGTCAGAATGGTATGTGGAACTGCAGA